TATACAAGATTCTGGTATTGGTATGACACGCGAAGAATTGGTCAATAATTTGGGTACCATAGCACGCAGTGGTTCAAAGAAATTTTTAGAACAAATTAAAGAAAAGGGTGCTGCCGCTGAAAATTCCTCTAATATTATTGGTCAATTTGGTGTGGGTTTCTATTCGGCCTTTATGGTAGCCGATAAGGTAGAAGTATTCACACGTTCCTCTAAGGCCAATTCACCCGGTCTCTGTTGGTCTACCGATGGTTCTGGCAGTTATGAAATACAAGAAGCTGAGGGTGTTGCACATGGTACAAAGATTGTTATACATCTTAAACCGGAGTGTCGTGAATATGCCGATGAGGATCGTATACGTTCGGTCATTAAGAAATATAGTAATTTTGTTGGATCCCCCATTTATTTGAATGGTCAACGTGCTAATGATATTCAACCATTGTGGCTGATGGAACCTAAAGAAGTTAGCCAAGAACAACATGATGAATTTTATCGTTTCATTGGTAATACCTTTGATACGCCACGTTTTGTTTTGCATTATAAGGTAAGGATGTCGTTACTATAGTCCAAACAATAGTCCGGACTTTAAACAAAACTATCTACTATAGTCGAGACTAGAAATCAAACTAAAGTCGATGCTAAAGAGCAAACTATAGTTGACACGATAGACCAATCTAAAGTCGAGACAATAGACCAAACTAGAGTCGAGAATATAGACCAAACTATTGACGAGACTTTAGACAAAACTACTATAATCGAGACTATACACCAAACAATAGTCGAGGCAATAGACCAAACTATAGTCGTGGCAATAGATCAAACTATAGTCGAGACTATAGACCAAACTATAGTTGAGGCTATAGACCAAACTATAGTTCAGACTATAGACCAAACATTATTTGATACTATACAGCAAACTATAGTCGGGGCTATAGACAAAACTGTAGTCGAGACTATAGACTAAACTATGGTCTCGACCATAGACCAAGTTATAATCTCTATAGACCAAACTATAATCGAGACTATAGACCAAACTATAGTCTCGATTATAGTTTCGTCTATAGAGACTATAGACCAAACTATAGTTGAGATTATAGACCAAACTATAGTTGAGACTATAGACCTTTTGACGAGACTTTAGACAAAACGATCTTCTATAATCGAAACTATAGACCAAACTGTAGTCGAGACTATAGACCAAGCTATAGTCTCTACTATAGACCAAACTATAGTCGAGACTTTCGACCAAACTATAGTCGACACCATAGACCAAACTATAGTCGAGACAATAGAACAAACTAAAGTCGAGACAATAGACCAAACAAGAGTCGAGAATATAGACCAAACTATTGACGAGACTTAAGACAAAACTATCTACTATAATCAAGACTATACACCAAACAATAGTCAAGGCAATAGACCAAACTATAATCGATGCTGAGACTATAGACCAAAATATAGTTGAGACTATAGAGCAAACTATAGTTGAGATTATAGACCATACTATAGTTCAGACTATAGACCAATTATTGTCTCGACTACAGATCAAACTATAGACTGGACTATATACTACTACATAGTCCTGTCTATAGACAAACCCTTAGTCTGCATCATAGACTTTTTTAACTTCAACTTCTTTTAAACAAATATTTTATATCTTTTTTTAGACTGATGTACCCCTTAGCATACGAGCTTTACTATATTTCCCCGAAGGCAAACCCGGTTTATTCGATATGACACGCGATGGTGATGTAGGTGTTGCCCTATATACACGCAAAGTTTTGATACAATCCAAAACCGCTAATCTAGTACCCAAATGGTTGCGTTTCGTTAAAGGTGTAGTCGATTCAGAGGATATACCACTTAATTTAAGTAGAGAACTATTGCAGAATAGCGCCCTAATCAGGTGAGTTTAATAAAGTTAAATAGTTTCTTTAATATTAACTTAATATTATTTCCTTTAAAGAAAATTGTCTGGAGTCCTAACCAGTCGCATTTTACGTTTCCTCTTGGATAAGGCCAATAAACAACCCTCAGAATATGAAGCTTTCTACAAGGATTATGGTCTATTCCTTAAAGAAGGCATTGTTACTTCACATGATCAAACGGAAAAGGAAAGTATTGCTAAATTGTTGCGTTTTGAATCGTCTAAAACAGCCGAAGGACAAAAAGTTTCTTTGGAAACCTATTGCTCTAATGTGGGTGAACAAAAGGATATCTACTATTTGGCAGCACCAAATCGTATCTTGGCTGAATCTTCGCCTTACTATGAGGGTTTAAAGAAACGTGGTGTTGAAGTTTTATTCTGCTATGAACCCTACGATGAATTGGTCTTAATGCAATTGGGCATGTTTAAGGACAAAAACTTGGTATCGGTGGAAAAGGAAATGCGTCAGGGAGCTGGTGGCGATGAGGTCAATGAGTTCGGTGAGGGTAGTTTATTAAGGTCACAAGTCGATGAGCTATTACCCTGGATAAAAGAGAAACTAGCCGGCAAGGTGGCCAATGTACGTGTCACTAACAAACTTGACTCACATCCCTGTGTGGTGACCGTCGAAGAAATGGCTGCTGCCAGACATTTTATACGCACCCAAAGTCACCAGCTGCCAGAGGAGAATCGTTATGCTCTTTTACAGCCACAATTGGAAATTAATCCAAAGTAAGTTTTTTTTTTTATTATTAATTCAGTGAAATTCTTTTTTATATATATTTTTCTTATTTTAGACATGAAATTATTAAAAAATTAAATAACTTACGTTCAAATGATGCTGAATTGGCTGAGTTATTGGTGCAGCAATTATTTGTTAATGCCATGGTGGGCGCTGGTTTAGCTGAAGATCCTCGCACTTTATTAACCAACATGAATGCTTTGTTGACCAAGGCTTTGGAAAAGTGTTAATTTTTTCGAAATTCTAGTTAATAATTCCATTAGTTTCAGTGTTTATTATTTAGGTTTTGTTTTATTAATAAATTAATAATAAAAAAATTATATATTTTTTACGCTTTAACCCTTTTAGAACCGAATTAATAGAATATTAAACAAATTCACAAATTCCCCTAGGGAAAGGTTTCGAAACTAAAGACTACTTTATAGTCTGGACTAAAGACAGCTTTATAGACTGGACTTGAGACTACTTTATTGTGTGGACTAAAGGCGAGACTGGATTATAGGCTGAACTATATAGACAGAACTGTACTCCGAACTATAGACTGGACTATATACTACTCTATTGTCTGGACTATAGACTACTCGATAGTCTGGACTATTGACTACTGTATAGTTTGGACTATAGACTACTGTATAGTTTGGACTATAGACTACTGTATAGTTTGGACTCTAGACTACTCTATAGTTTGGACTATAGACTACTCTATATTCTGGACTATAGATTACTCTATAGTTGGGACGATAGACTTTTCTATAGTCTGGACTATAGACAACTCTATAGTCTGGAATAGACAACTCTATCGACTGGAGTATACACTACTCTATAGTCTGGACTATAGACTACTCTATCGCCTGAACAATAGATAATAGTCTGTACGAAAGACTACTGTGTAAGCTGGATTATGGGCTACTCTGTAATCTGGATTATAGACTACCCTATAGTCTGGACTATAGACTACTCTATAGTCTGGACTATAGACTACTCTATAGTCTGGACTATAGACTACTCTATAGTCTGGACTATAGACTACTCTATAGTCTGGACTATAGACTACTCTATAGTCTGGACTATAGACTACTCTATAGTCTGGACTATAGACTACTCTATAGTCTGGACTATAGACTACTCTATAGTCTGGACTATAGACTACTCTATAGTCTGGACTATAGACTACTCTATAGTCTGGACCATAGACTACTCTATAGTCTGGACTATAGACTACTCTATAGTCTGGACTATAGACTACTCTATAGTCTGGACTATAGACTACTCTATAGTCTGGACTATAAACTTCTCTATAGTCTAGAATCTAGACTTATAAACTTCTCTACAGTCTGGACTATAGACTATTCTACAGTCTCGACTATAGACTACTCTACAGTCTAGACTATAGACTACTCTATTGTCTTGACTATAAGCTACTCTGGAATATTAACTTCTCTATAGTGTGGACAATAAGCTACTCTATCGACTGGAGTATTCACTACTCTATAGTCTGGAGTATAGACTACACTATGACCTGGACTATAAACTACTCTCTAGTCTGGACTATAGATAATAGTCTGTAGGAAAGACTACTGTGTAAGCTGGATTATGGACTACTCTGTAATCTGGATTATAGACTACTCTATAGTCTGGACTATAGACTACTCTATAGTATAGACTATAGACTTCTCTATCGACTGGACAATAGACTACTCTATCGACTGGACAATAAACTGCTCTATCTACTATAGACTAGACCATAGTTTGGACTATAGACTAGACCATAGTCTGGACTAAAGACTACTCTATAGCCTGAACTATAGACTACTCTACCTCCTGAACTATAGACTACTCTATAGCCTGGACTATTAAATACTCGCTAGACTAGACTATAATCCAGACTATAGGGTACTCTATAGTCTGGACTATAGACTACTCTGTAGTCTGGACTATAGACTACTCTATAGTCAGGACTATAGACTACTCTATAGTCTGAACTATAAACTACTCTATAGTCTGGACTATAGACTACTCTATAGTCTGAACTATAAACTACTGTGTAGTCTGGACTGTGTACTCCAGAGTATGGACAATCGAATAATCTACAGTTAATAGTCTGGATCATACACTACTCTGAACACTGCACTATACACTACTCTATAGTCTTTACTGGATATTTCCTTAAAACACATGGATTTCAAAAAATTATTGCAATTTCCAAAACCTTGTCTACAAATCTATTTTTCACTTTTAAAACACTTTGTAAACATTTATTTTTTGTATAAAACAATTGTATAAACACTTTATTACACATTATTGTTTAATTTTATAAAGTTATTTTGATTTTTATTGCAATTAAACACTGATATTTAAATTTTACAACATTTCTCTTTAACTATGACTTTTTAATTAAATGAAATGGCTTTTTCAATCACAATAGTTCAATTTTAATTTACAATAGAAATTTACCGTTTAACTGTGTTTAGTTGGTAGTCATTTGGCGGGCATGTTGGATTTTGTTTAAAATAGCAACACTGTGCTACAAAGTTTTAATAGTTTATTAAATGTAGTAGTCAGTATTATAGGCTGTATTACAGACATTAAAAGGGTTATTATATATTATATGGATATTTTGTAAAAAAAAAAAACAATAGGTATATACTTATAATGTAGAATTTAAAAATATGTATAATTATTTATTATAAACCTTTACTTTTCATTCTTATTAATTAGTTGGTAGTAATACACTGTGCTACAATCCGTATAGTTAGAGTATGCTGGGCTATAGTAGTCACAACTTTATATATATTTTAAAGATTTTTATTAATAAAAGTATATTCTTATAGCTAACAAATTAAAAAAAAATTATTTCCAGCTTATTTCTTTACTCCATTTGTATTAGTTTATTTAGTATTTGATGCATTTGCCATTCTTTGATATGCTTCAACAATCAAATAAGGATGTGTTTCCTGCATATTTTTCCAATCTTCAGTTTTCACCACTTCACTGGAATTGTCATTTATAAATTCTATAGCTTTTTCTCTTAATTCGAGTGCATTATGCCGATCGGCTAATATTAAAGTTTCAGCTGCTATATCAATAGATAGTTGGTCAAGTAATGTTTTCTCACACATTTCCTTTAGACCTTCCAAAGCGTATTTATCTGCTGCTACTAAAAGAAATTTCGCCATTTTGTATAGTTTTGTTACTACGCCAGTATAAATAAATAGTAACATTTCCTGTATGACCTCTGGATCAATATCCATTATTTCAACACGATTCAATTTATTCTCCTGCATTTCATGTTCAAACATGGCAGCAAATACCTTACTTCGTGCGGCCAATATAGCTTTATGTACATGAAATTCCTTGCCACCTCCAACTAATATAAAATCAGTGAGTTTTCCATTTTGAAATAGCATTCCGAAATCTTTGTTTAATTGAGATTTGGGCATGGCAAGTGGTAGACGGGTTATATTTATAAATTTAGCAACACTCATTTCAAAGCATATTGTCAACTTGTCTTCACATAACAGATCATTTATAATTTTAACGGAATGAATTTTTTGCATAGTATTTTTCCTGTCTGCTTTTATAGTAGCTGTATGACCATATTTTTCTTCTTGTTTTTCATTTAATATAGAAAATTTATATTTGAGCTTTGGTTCTAAAATTTCGGAGGGATCTGAATACAATAAATAGATTTCGATCCAATCCGCATTTGAAGTTGAACGTTTAATGTATAAAGAGAATTTATATTCTTCATATACATTGGAAGAAAATATTGGAGACTTCCATTCATCTATTAAATTAGAACAAGAAAGAAAATAACGTATGACCCATGTACAATTTATTCTTATAATCTCGTAATGTGTAAAACAATGGTTCTCGGTAAGAAATTCCTTGGAGTTTGATGATGACATTTTAACTGTTAAAAAAAAAAAATAAATTAAAAGATTAGTCTATAATTAAGAATAGTTTAAAAAGTAGAATAGCCTATAGTATTGACTAGATATTAGTCTAACAATAGATAAATCTATAATTCAGACTATAGATTAGTTTATAGACTATATAGTCTATAGTATAGAGTCTATACTATAGACTATAGAGTGGGTCTATAGTATAGACTATAGAGTAGTCTATAGTATAGACTATATAGTAGTCTATAGTATAGACTATAGAGTAGTCTATAGTATAGACTATAGAGTAGTCTATAGTATAGACTATAGAGTAGTCTATAGTATAGACTATAGAGTAGTCTATAGTATAGACTATAGAGTAGTCTATAGTATAGACTATAGAGTAGTCTATAGTATAGACTATAGAGTAGTCTATAGTATAGACTATAGAGTAGTCTATAGTATAGACTATAGAGTAGTCTATAGTATAGACTATAGAGTAGTCTATAGTATAGACTATAGAGTAGTCTATAGTATAGACTATAGAGTAGTCTATAGTATAGACTATAGAGTAGTCTATAGTATAGACTATAGAGTAGTCTATAGTATAGACTATAGAGTAGTCTATAGTATAGACTATAGAGTAGTCTATAGTATAGACTATAGAGTAGTCTATAGTATAGACTATAGAGTAGTCTATAGTATAGACTATAGAGTAGTCTATAGTATAGACTATAGAGTAGTCTATAGTATAGACTATAGAGTAGTCTATAGTATAGACTATAGAGTAGTCTATAGTATAGACTATAGAGTAGTCTATAGTATAGACTATAGAGTAGTCTATAGTATAGACTATAGAGTAGTCTATAGTATAGACTATAGAGTAGTCTATAGTATAGACTATAGAGTAGTCTATAGTATAGACTATAGAGTAGTCTATAGTATAGACTATAGAGTAGTCTATAGTATAGACTATAGGAGTAGTCTATAGTATAGACTATAGAGTAGTCCATAGTATAGACTAAGAGTAGTCTATAGTATAGACTATAGAGTAGTCTATAGTATAGACTATAGAGTAGTCTATAGTATAGACTATAGAGTAGTCTATAGTATAGACTATAGAGTATCTATAGATAGACTATAGAGTAGTCTATAGTATAGACTATAGAGTAGTCTATAGTATAGACTATAGAGTAGTCTATAGTATAGACTATAGAGTAGTCTATAGTATAGACTATAGAGTAGTCTATAGTATAGACTATAGAGTAGTCTATAGTATAGACTATAGAGTAGTCTATAGTATAGACTATAGAGTAGTCTATAGTATAGACTATAGAGTAGTCTATAGTATAGACTATAGAGTAGTCTATAGTATAGACTATAGAGTATCTATAGTATAGACTATAGAGTATTCTATGTATAGACTATAGAGTATTATCGTATACTATAGTATTATAGTATAGACTATAGAGTATTCTACAGTGTAGACTATAGAGTATTCTATAGTATAAAGTAGTCTATGGTATAGAATATAGAGTAGTCTATAGTATAGACTATAGAGTAGTCTATAGTATAGACTATAGACTACTCTTTAGACAATAGAGTAGTCTATAGTATAGACTATAGACTACTCTTTAGACAATAGAGTAGTCTATAGTATAGACTATAGTGTAGTCTAAAAGCCATACTATTTATTAGTCTATACTCCAAACTATAGATTAGTCAGTCTACAATCCAAACTATAGAATAGTTTATAGTCAACATTATAGACTAGTCTTTAATCCATACTATTAACTACTATTTAGTATGGAGTAAGTATATCTATATAGTACAATAAAGCTCGGACTATTGAGTATATTATAATATAAAAAATAACATTTATAAAACTTACATTTATTCCTTTTAAAAACACTTATTGAGAGAAGAAAATAGAGTATATATACATACTATACATCAAGGCGAATTCAGATAAGGTGGTGGCAGTTCTGCAACAACAACATTTTACATGTATTTTGTTTTTGCATTTGGTTTGCGTAGTGGTAAAAAACCATAAGTAAGGCGAATTCATTTCATGAAAAATTTTTGTAAAATTTTTATATATTATTAAAAAATAGACATAAAAATATTAAAGTTTCTGAAGAAAATATATTCTGAATTGAATATTGCTTCAAACGAAAAATTCTTTACCGGCAGATTAATTTGTAAAATTTAAGTAAGTGCCTGAAGTTAAGTAAAACTTAATTTTTTGGTGAAAAATAAACTTAAAAAAGTACATATTCAAGAAAAAATTATATTACGAATGAATGAATCTTTGTTGCGAATGGATAATTCTACTCCGGCGGAGTAATTTTCAATATTTGGCCATAATGTAGCAGCCTCCGGACGGGTAAATACCTCATATGGGTTCTGTTATATAAAGCGTTCCGGAACAGACTTTTTTTTTTAGTTAATCACTTTATCTACATAGTGTATATATAAAAAAATATTGTTTAATTTGTTAACATTTAATAGATTTCAAAATAAAGCCATAATGTAAAAGTAAACTGCCGCTGTTCGGCTAAATTCTTCATATGTGTAGTGTTACGGAATAGATTTTTTTAGTTAATCACGTTATCTACACAATGTTAATATAAAATATAAAACAATATTGTTTAATATGTTAACATTTAATAGAAAAAAATATTTTTCTTAAATAACATATTTGTATACATACCAATTATGCCATTATTTAAATAAAATGATATTTGTTTACGAGATGCTTGGTATTTTTAGATTTTTTACATAAATAATTCAAAATATTAACGAAGTTTTTCTCCGTTTAACGGAAATTTTTAAATATAAAAATGTAAACAATAACAAACTTTGACAGCTACGTAAATCAGGCGAATTAGGAAAAAATTATCAGCTGATTGAATAACACCACCAAGGCGAATTGAGATAAGGTGGTGTTATTCAATCAGCTGATTATTTTTTTCCTCACTTGACTGGTACGCACTGATGTCAGAGTTTGTTATTGTTTACATTTTTTATATTTAAAAAAGACAAAAACTTCTTTAGTATTTTGAATAATTTATGTAAAAAATCTTAAAATACAAAACATTTTGTAAACAAATATTTTTCTTATATAAATAATGAATAATTTGTACGCATGTACCAACTTAATATAACAATAATATTTTTTCTATTAAATGTTAATAAATTAAACAATATTGTTTTATATTTTATATTTACATTTTGTAGATAACGCGAATAACTTAAAAATTATGTTCCGGAACACTTTATATAAAACCCCACGAGTTATTTACCCGACCGGCGGCAGCTGTCTTCTATGTAATGGTTAAATTTTTAGATCTAAAAAAAAATTAATAAATTGTTTTATATTTACACTGTGTATAACTAACAAAATTCTGTTCCGGAACGCTTTTTATAACAAACCCCATATGAGGTATTTACCCGTCCGGCGGCAGCTGACTACAACGTGTAAATCTTTAAAATTGCTCCGCCGGAGTAGAATTTTCCATTTACAACAAAGATTCTTTCATTCGGTATATAATTTTTCCGTAAATTTTTACATTTTTATGTTTATTTTTCACAAAAATATTAATTTTTCATTATTTTGGGCACAAACTTAAGTACTGCAAAATTAATTTGCCGGAGTAGAATTATTCCACTAATTATTCTTCACAAAATTTAGTATTTTTATGTGTAGTTTCTATAAAATATAAAAATTTCACAAAATATTTTCATTAAATGAATTCGCCGCAATTATTGTTTTTGACATCAGTGCGTACCAAATGCAAAAACAAATTACATGGAAAATTTTGTTGTTGCCGAACTGCCACCACCTTATCGCCTTGAACACCACCTTATCTGAATTCGCCTTGCACTGATGACAAAAACAATAATTGCGGCGAATTCTTTTAATGAAAATATTTAATGAAATTTTTATATTTTATAAAATAAATACACATAAACTCAGTGCGTGCCAGTCAAGTGAAGAAAAAAAAAATAATCAGCTGATTGAATAACACCACCTTATCTAAATTCGCCTTGGTATTACAGAAGCTTATATTTGTATTGCAGATATTTATTTGTAGTTGTATTTTAGAACTAATAACACAAGTTTACAAATTAATATTTTTTGTTTGCTCATGGAATGAAACATATATTTTTGGAAAGGGCTATCTATGTCCGGTGGTTTATTTACTAATTTTAATTTTTTTCCCTCTTCAGTAGTGCTGGAAAAATATTTGAAAATGAGAATTGTTTTTTGGGTACCTGCACCTGTTTTGGGAACCTAACAACCAACTCAGAAAAAAAATTCAATAATATAAAATTTAGGAATTTCTTAACCCATTTTTTACCACTTTTTTAGTTTTTTACCCGATTTTTAGTAATTGTTTTGTTACGTTTTAAAAAAAAAATAAATAATTTCGAACAAATTATTGACATTTTATTCCAGAATTACAAACTTACGGATCTAGATTTATCCCCCATAATTCATTTCATACATTCAAGATTAAGATTATTGCAACGTAATTTTTAATATTTTCGTGACAGGAATCCATTTTTAGAGTGTTGTTAGGAAGACCAGTAAAATTTTTTGAAATAATGCTATATTTTATAAAAACAATTAAAATTAAATGCAAATTTTGTAAAAAAAACTAATGTTAAAAATCAATTTTAATTGCACAAAAACAAAATTCTAAATAAATTTTACAATAAAACAAGTAGAAAAGTATAGTCGGGCATGGCCGACTATATAATACCCTACACCATGAGTATATTTTAAAAATTTTTATTTTTCGCAAAGAAACTTTTATGTTGAATTTTACGTTAATTCCAAAGTATTTAAGCAATTTATTGATAAAAAACAAATTTTATAAATGAGGCTTTATATAGGAGTATAGGTCAAACATGGGCCGATCCTCATTAAATTTGGGCAAAGGATATATTTTTAAATAATAGTTAATTATGTTGAGTTTCATTGCGATACAAATGGTTACAAGTAGGGTTCTATAGTTCAAACGAAAAGTCGACTTTTCGACTTTTTGCATTTAGTTAAAAGTCGACTTTTCGACCTTTCGACTTTTTCCATTTTATGAAAAGTCGATTTTTCGACTTTTCGACCTTTTTCATTTATTTAAAAGTCGACTTTTAGACTTTTCGACTTTTAGTATTATATAAATGGTCGACTTTTTCCGACTTTTCGACTTTTTTCGACTTTTTCCGACTTTTTCCGACTTTTTTCGACTTTTTCCGACTTTTCGACTTTTCGATTTTTTACGACTTTTTACGACTTTTTGACTATTTTCGACTTATTTCGACTTTTTTCGACTTTTTTCGACTATTTTTTTACTTTTTTCGAGTTTTTCCGACTATTTTAGAGTTTTTGACCTCTTTTCCACTTTTTTAAAATTTTCGACTATTTTCGACTTTTCGACTTTTTCCGACTTTTTTCGACTTATCGACTTTTTTCGACTTTTTTCGACTTATCGACTTTTTTCGACTTTTCGACTTTTATTTACAAAGTCGACTTTTCGACTTTTTTCATACACGATAGTCGAGTTATCGACTTTTTGGAACAAAATAGTCGACTTCGACTTTTTTCGACAAAAAGTCGATTGTTCGATTATTCGAAAGTCGATTTATAGAACCCTAGTTACAAGTCAATTTTAGACGTTTAAGACATTTTTTGAAGGGGGGTTTGTATGGGGGCTAGGGTCAAATAAGGGCCGATCATTACGAAAATATGCAGTGTCATTTATACTTATATAAAACTTATTTGTGCCAATTTTTAGAGAGATAATAGTATATTTGACGTAATTATGGCATAAAAAGCCCAAATCGGGAGGTACGGTAGTATGGGGGCTAGGTGAAATAATGGACCGATTTCAACCATTTTCAATAGGCTTCGTCCTTCGTGCCAAAAAACATGCTTGGTCAAAATTTCATCAAATTATCTTGAAAATTGCGGCCTGTACCTTGCGCACAAGGTTTACATGGACAGCCAGCCAGCCGGACAGGCGGACGGACATGTCTTAATCGACTCAAAATGTGATTCTGAGTCGATCGGTATACTTAAAGGTGGGTGTAGGACCAATATTTTTGTGTGTTACAAACATCAGCACAAACGTATAATACCCTCCCCACTATAGTGGTGTAGGGTATGACGTTTGTTATCAAGACAACGTTGTCTAAACAATTGTTTAGACAACACTGTCATAACGGCGTTATAACGCTAATAAATGCCATCTGTACCTGCTAATTTTTTATTATGATAACAATTTGACGTTTAGCATAATAAATATTTGTTGGGGTTACATATGATATATTATATCGATATTTTGTTAAAAAACAATACATATATTCTTATAATGTAGAATTTAACAAGTAAGAAATTATAGTCGGGCGAGGCCGACCATATAATACCCTACACCTGTTACAAAAAAAAAAAATGTGATTTAGTTTTCATAATAAAGCATTTAAGTTGAATTGAACCTTGCCTCAGATATACTTAAGCCATTTATTGTTGAATAAAATTGTGGACATTTAAGTCGAATTTTGAAGGGGGCTTTGAATAGGAGCTATTGTCAAATGAGACCCTTTAATTAAAAAATTCATGAGGATCATCAAGGCTAGTATAGAACTTGGTTTTTTAACTTTTTGTCGAGATACGAGTATATTAAACATAATTATGAACTTAAAAGCCCTATTAGTCCGGTTCAGTTGTATGGGGGCTAGTTGAAACAATGGACCGATGTTAACGATTTTCAATAGGCTTCGTCCCTGGGACAATAGAAGATCATGTACCAAATTTCATTGAATTAACTTCAAAATTGCGACCTGTAGTTTGATTATAAGGTTTACAAGCCCTATTCGGGGGTTCAGTTGTATGGGGGCTAGGTGAGATAATGGACCGATATTAACCATTTTCAATAAACTCCGTCTCTGGTACCATAGAAGATCGTATGCCAAATTTCATTGAATTATCTTCAAAATTGCGACCTGTAGTTTGATTATAAGGTTTACAAGCCCTATTCGGGGGTTCAGTTGTATGGGGGCTAGGTGAGATAATGGACCGATTGTAACCATTTTCAATAGGCTTCGTCCCTGGGACAATAGAAGATCATGTACAAAATTTCATTGAATTATCTTCAAAATTGCGACCTGTAGTTTGATTACAAGACGGACGGACATAGCTAAATCGACTCAGAAAATGATTCTAAGTCGATTGGTATACTTTAAGTTGGGTATAGGACCAATATTATTGTGCGTTACAAACATCAGCACAAACCCAATATACCCTCTCCACTAAAGTGGTGTAGGGTATAAAAATATAGTTATTTACTATAAACCTTTACTTTTCATTCTTATTAATTAGTTGGTAGTAATACACTGTGCTACAAAGTTGTAATAGCTTTTAAAATCCGTATAGTTAGAGTATGCTGGGCTATAGTAGTCAGAACTTTATATATATTTTAAAGATTTTTATTAATAAAAGTATATTCTTATAGCTAACAATTTAAAAAGATTTATTTCCAGCTTATTTCTTTACTTTCCATTTGCCATTCTTTGATATGCTTCAACAATCAAATAAGGATGTGTTTCCTGCATATTCTTCCAATCTTCAGTTTTCACCACTTCACTGGAATTGTCATTTATAAATTTTATAGCTTTTTCTTTTAATTCGAATGCACTAAGCCGATCGGCTAATATTAAAGTTTCAGCTGCTATTTCAATAGATAGTTGTTCACATAACTTTTTCTCACACATTTCCTTTAGACCTTCCAAAGCATATTTATCTGCTGCTACGAAAAGAAATTTCGCCATTTTGTATAGTTTTGTTACTACGCCAGTATAAATAAATAGTAACATTTCCTGTATGACTTCTGGATCAATATCCGTTATTTCAACACGATTCAATTTATTCTCCTGCATTTCATGTTCAAACATGGCAGCAAATACCTCACTTCGTGCGGCCAATATAGCTTTATGTACATGAAATTCCTTGCCATTTCCAACTAATATAAAATCAGTGAGTTTTCCATTTTGAAATAGCATTCCCAAATCTTTGTTTAATTCAGATTTGGGCATGGCAAGTGGTAGACGGGTTATATTTATAAATTTAGCAACACTCATTTCAAAGCATATTGTCAACTTGTCTTCACATAACAGATCATTTATAATTTTAACGGAATGAATTTTTTGCATAGTATTTTTCCTGTCTGCTTTTATAGTAGCTGTATGACCATATTTTTCTTCTTGTTTTTCATTTAATATAGAAAATTTATATTTGAGCTTTGGTTCTAAAATTTCGGAGGGATCTGAATACAATAAAAAGATTTCGATCCAATCCGCATTTGAAGTTGACCGTTTAATGTATAAAGAGAATTTATATTCTTCATATACATTGGAAGAGAATATTGGAGACTTCCATTCTTCTATTAAATTAGAACAAGAAAGAAAATAACGTATGACCCATGTACAATTTATTCTTATAATCTCGTAATGTGTAAAACAATGGTTCTCAGTAAGAAATTCCTTGGAATTTGATGACATTTTAACTGTTAAAAAAAAGAAATTAAAAGATTAGTCTATAATTAAGAATACTTTAAAAAATAGAATAGCCTATAGTGTTGACTAGATATTAGTCTAGTAATAGATAAATCTATAATTCAGACTATAGGTTAGTTTATAGACTATATAGTCAATAGTATAGACTATAGAATAGTCTATAGTATAGACTATAGAATAGTCTATAGTATAGACTATAGAATAGTCTATAGTATAGACTATAGAATAGTCTATAGTATAGACTATAGAATAGTCTATAGTATAGACTATAGAATAGTCTATAGTATAGACTATAGACCACCTTTAAATTTGTGCCCAAAATTATGAAAAAAAAGTATTTTTGTGGAAAATAAACAAAAAAAAAAATTTTAAATTTACGGAAAAAATATATACCGAATGAAAGAATCTTTGTTGTGAATGGAAAATTCTACTCCGGCGGAGTAATTTTGGAAAGCAAAAACGTGTTTTTGTTACCCCGCTCAAAATTTACCTTGCTTTGTTTTATGATGATTCCCAATATATTTTAAGTCTAGCCGTTCGTGAGCTGGATCAAATTTTTGGAACAATAAACCCAAAATGGGGTATCGCTTGGGGGTATGTGCTCATAATTGTTAGGTTTTTTATTAATATAAATAAAATGTATGCAAAGTTTTACAAATTTTGCTCACCACTAGATCTTTCGAATGAAGAATTTAAAAAAATAACTAAAAAGAGACTTTTGTAACCGGTCCACCTCATATATATATATATATATATGTATATATATATATATATATATATATATATATATATATATATATATATATATATATATATATATATATATATATATATATATATATATATATATATATATATATATATATTATATTGTACAAATTACAAACAGAGTCACAAACTTATATGTAGCCTTCTCACACTTATTAAACTTACATTTATTCCTTTTAAAATCACTTAGTGGACTGAATAGTAAAGTATTTCATTCTTTGTGTTTGCGATTAGAACATAAAATATATACATATTATACTTATTGCGTTCTTCCCCTTTTTCTTTTTAACAAAAGACAATTGCAGCTGTGTTTATTTTTTTTTTGTAAAATGCGTTTAAAACGTCACATTAAAAACAACCCTGTGTACACGTCTTTTTGAAATGATACCGTTAAACTGTGTTTAGTTGGTATAATCGTAAGCAGGCATGTTTGGCAGCTGTCAACAAATATTACGAATTAGGGTTCTATAGTTGAAACGAAAAGTCGACTTTTCGACCTTTTTCATTTAAGTAAAAGTCGACTTTTCGACTTTTTTTATTTTATGAAAAGTCGATTTTTCGACTTTTTTCATTTTAATAAAAGTCGACTTTTAGACTTTTCGACTATAAGTATTTTATAAATAGTCGACTTTTCAACTTTTTTCGACTTTTCGATTTTTTCGACTTTTTGACTATTTTCGACTTCTTTCTACTTTTTTCCGTCTATTTTTTTTTACTTTTTTCGAGTTTTTCCGACTATTTTAGAGTTTTTCGACTTTTTTCGACAAAAAGTCGATTGTTCGATTATTCGAAAGTCGATTTATAGAAACAAACCGAAGAAAAATAAAACAAACCAAATAAAACATCATGCAGTGGTGTTATTCAATCAGCTGGTAATTTTTTTCTTAATTCGCCTGGTTTACGTAGCTGTCAAAGTTTGTTATTGTTTACTTTTTTATATTTAAAAATGTCCGTTAAACGGAGAAAAACTTCGTTAATATTTTGAATTATTTATGTACTCACTTAAATTTTGCAAATTAATCTGCCGGAATAGAATTTTTCGTTTGAAACAAACATTATTCAATTCAGAATATATTTTCCTCACAAATTTTAATATCTTTATCTTTATTTTTAATAAAATATAGACTTTTTACAAAAAATTTTCATCAAATGAATTCGTAGTACTCACAAATTTTAATATCTTTATTTTTATTTTTTAATAAAATATAAACTTTTTACAAAAATTTTTCGTCAAATGAATTCGCTTCGGCTTAGCTTTTGAGCCGAAAGAATTCGGCGGCGGCGCGGCTTGCAAAATATTACCGTCGGCCAGCCGCCGCCGATTTGAGCCGTCTCGGCTTGTATCTCTGCACTGGACTATCTGATTATATGTATATTACATCACAGTCTCGACTATAAGTTACTCTACAGTCTGGACTATAGACTACCCTATAGTTGAATTATTATAGATCATAGACTAATATATAGTCTGGACTACAGACTAATTTATAGGCTGGATTATAGAAATAGAATTTAAAATTTTAATAAATTATCAATTTCTGAAATATCTACCTACAATTTTCAGAAATTATTTATAAAATTTAAAAACATAAACATATATAAAAGAATTGTTGAAATACAATTACAAAGTTCACAAATATAATTGAAAATACGTATCTAGTTTACAAATCATAGATTTTGCGCCAAAATTTGAAAGAAAAATTTTTATTTTATTTAATTATAAAGTATTTATTGGTAGAAGTATTAACTTAAAACTAACAATTATTAAAAAAAAAGTAATTCACCCCTCTCGGTATCAAATATTTTAAAATTTTCCTTTTGCTTGCTTTTATTTCATTTCGTTTTTCGAAGTTTTCTTGGAGTTTAGTTTAATTGCTAAACTTATTTTTTGCCAACATTTCATATAACTCAGTAATTAAATTTGGATGCGTTTTGATCATATTTTTCCAATCCTGAGTTTTCATAACTTCAGTAGCATGTGTATTTATAAATACCAAAGTAGATGCTTTTAAATCAAATGTAGTATAAAGATCGGCAAACAATAAAGTTTCAACTGCTGTATGAATCGATAGTTTGTCCTTTAGTTTGATCTCACACATTTTTTGCAGACTTTCTAAAGCGTATTTATTTGCTGCTGGCAAAAGAAATTTAGCCATTTCATCTAGGTTTTCCACTTTGTCGGTATAAATAAATCGCAAAAGTTCCTGCAGTACGTTTGATGCAATATCCGCTATTTCAACACGATTCTCCAGCATTTCAAGCTCAAACATTTCGTCAAATACTTCACTTCGTGCGGCCAATATAACTTTATTTACATAAAATTCCTCTCCATCTGCAACTAATGTAACATCAGGGAATTTTTCACTTTTAAAAATATTAACAAGATCTTTGCTTAAAGTAGATTTTGGCAACATATCTGTTTGATTAGAAATATTAATTACTTTTACCAAAGTACTTATTTCAAAGCATATTGTCAACTGGTCCCGGGGTAATAGTAGATTATCTTTATTCAATATAAATGATTCATAAATCTCAGCAATTTGATATGAACTACTATTATTGAAAGTTAGAGTGCCCGTATTTACATATGATTCTTCTTGATTTTCGTTTAATATAGAAAATTTATATTTGTATTTTGGGTTCATAATTTTAAAGGGATTTATACATAATAAATACCCTTTATAAATATTATTTGTACCACGTATAATACATAAAGAGAATTTGAAATCGTCATAAACATTGGAAGAAAATGTTGAGGATTTCCATTCATCTATTAATTGGCAACAAACGCTAAAATCATTTATGATCCATTTACAATTTTCTTCTATAATCTCACTACGTGTGTTACACCAATTCTTGTTTATAGATTCCTTGGGTTTTAATGCCATTTTTACTGTTAGAAAAAAAAAAAAAAACAGATTATATATTTAAATTACTATTTAGTCTATAAAGTAGCTCACTATATATTAGTCTATTGTCCAAAATTAAGATTAGTTTATTAGCCAAATTAAGAGTACCTAGCCTATAGTCCGACTATATATAAGTATATGGCCCAAACTACCTATACAGTAGGCTATAGTCCAAACTATGGATTGGTATATATTCCAGACTATTGTTTCGTCTAAGTCCATACTATAAATTTGACTATAATTTAGACCATAGATAGGTAGATTCCAGACTATAATGCAGCCTGGATTCTAGATTATAGACTAGTCAGTCTATAGTCCAGAGTATTAGCCTATAATCCTGAGTACATATACATAGACTAGTATATAGTCCAGAGTATTAGCCTGTAATCCTGAGTACATATACATAGATTAGTCTACAGCTCAGAATATAGATGTCTATAGTACAGACTATAGTCCAGATTATAGACTCATCTATAGTCCAGACTATAGACTCATCTATAGTCCTGACTTTAGACTCATCTATAGTCCAGAGTTTAGATCAAAACATAGACCATATTATATATGAGTCTATAGTCGGGACTAACAAGTTATCTAGAGTGTTCAGACTACATAGCAGTCTAAAATCCACTCTACAAAGTAGTCTAAAGTAAACACTACAAAGTTGTCTAAAGTCCAGTTTAAAGAGATGTTTATAATCTCGAATATACAATAGTATAGAGTCCAACCTATAGACTAAGGAGTAGCCTGAACAATAGACTGAAGAATAGTTTATAACCCAGACTAATAAGTAGTCTAGAATCGATTATAAGGTAGTTTAAAGTCTAGACTACAGAATGTATAATATTATTAAAAGAACACTTATAAAACTTACATTAATTTCGTTTTAAACCACTTTGAGAAGAAAGCTTGCAAAAAAAAACACTTGCTTCTTTTTTAAAACGCGATCGCAAATTTCGTGTGTGTATAACTATATAGGAATATCTGAGAAAAAATGGTAAATTTTCCTATGAAGACAATGTTCTTCCCCGACTTCTGAATTATTTAAGCTGTGTTCATTTATGCTAAACCAACTAAACACATTTTTCAAAACATCAACATCAATACAACTCTGTATAAATACCTAAAAAATGTCAATAATAACGATTGTAAACAAAATAATGGTGATTGTCTTTACTAAACACAACACGTATGGCAACATTGTACTGAAATTTACTATTGTTGTTATTGTTTCTCTCACGGAAGTTTACCCAACTAAGAAGAACAGCCAATAAGAATAAAGCTTCTAAAAAGGGCAACAACGAACAAGTCATATGACTGCTTTAGAAGCAAGTAAAACGAATAAGCTATAGAGTGCTGTTAAGCTGAAAACACATTAGAGTGAAAGAAAGAGTTAGTGGAAACAAAGAGAGTGTGTAAATAAGACAACAACTGAGGGCAAAATACCCGATACGAATTGATGTAGGTGAGTAAAAAGTAAGTGGAATAGCAGTCAGCGACCAACCAACAAAGCGTGCTTCGCAAACTCCTAAGAGCAACCGAAAAAAGGCCAAACAAAAACTTACAAGTTTTTGAAAACTTAGAAAAAATCAAATAATTCATTTTTTTGACAAGTGAGTGTGTTAGAAAACATGAAAAGAAAAATAAACAAATTGAGAAAAAATAGTGTTTAAATTGAAAAAAAAAAAAACTTAAAATATTAAAAAATGTACTAAAAAAAACGATTAAGCTGCCACGACTTAAAACTTTTGCTCTTAAAATTCGCTTAATAAAAAGAGAAAAGTGTAAAGGAGGAGGTGAAAATGTGCTAAGAGAGTAATTTGTTGAAAGAAAAAAACGAAAATTTTGAGCAAAACACATCACATGACTGGAATTTTTTAAAGTTTTATTTGGAATTTTTTTTGTTTAAATTTTATTTAAATTTTAAAACAAAAGCTAAGTTGTTAACAAAAAACAGGAATTTTTTAAATCTTTTTTTAACAAGAGTTAGTTACATCTCTTAAAAAAAAGACAAAAAACAAGCAAAAGACTCATTTAAAATAAAAAGAGCTTTTCAAAAAAAAAGTGTGTTTAAAAGAAATTTGCAAAAATTTCACTACAAATTCTAATAAACTTTAATAAAATTGTTAAAATTTTTGTTAATTTATAAACAAAATTTCTTTTTGTAATATTTTGTTTAAAAAGAAGAAGAAGCAGCAGAAGTATGACATGAATGAATGACAACGTCACATTTTTACTTTAGTTCTTTGTTGTTTTTTCCTTCTCTGCTTTGCTTTTCAGTTAAATCTACTCTATAAAGTTGCCAGATTTAACGTATTTTGCTAATATTTTGACGTTTTTTATAGCAAAATTAGCAAATATAGTTTTTTTTGAATTTTTCTTTAAAAGTGTTAAGATTTTAGACAAATTTAAAAAGTTTAAAAGGGAAATTAATGTTATTAAAGAAAATATTGTTTTTTTTTTAAGGAAAATCTTCAGTTTTCTTTAGAAAAATCTTTAAAAAAAGTTAAAATTCTATTCGAAAAATGTTTTAAATATAATATTCTATAGAAAATTTCTACTACAATGTTATTTTTCTATAGAAAACCATTAGTTTATAAAAATATATGTTAATAAAATTTTCTCTAAGAGAAAGTTTAATGTTTCTATAGAAAAAATTTTCTTGAAAGTAAAGATTTTCTGCAAAATTCGTTTAAAAAGTCTTAGAAATGTTGCTTTTTTAAAAAAACTGTTTATTAAGGTTAAAATTTTTAAAAAATTTTTAAATTTCTGTATAGTTTACAAAATTTTTTAACTAAAAATGACAAATTTAATGAAAGTTTTCTTCAAATAACAAATTTCTTGTTATTAAAAGTACAAATATACCATATTTTTCAACTTTATTGTATATTTCCTTCAAAAAGTAACATTTTTAAAGAAAAATTTCCTTAAATAACAAAGTTCTTTTTAGGAAGAGTAAAATTATCCTAAATTATTGAAATTTATTATAAATATAATAGTTTTTCTCAAAATTCTTGTCTAAGAGTAACAAACTTTAAAGAAAATTTATTTTAAATAACAAAGTTCTTTTAAGGAAGAGTAAAAATTTTCGATATTATACAAAATTTATTATAAAAATAATACATTTTTTATAAATTTCTTACAAATTTTGAATAAAAATATTAAAACTTCTATATTAAACCACTTTTTTTGGCGATTTTTTTCCAAACAAAATCATGTTGGGGAAACTGGCGATTTTTTGTACGAATAAACATCTGACAGCTCTATCGACCTAGTCGTTTTTATTTCTGCTGGTGACGAGAAAACTCAGTCGTTTAGCAACCGTCGAAGAGAATACTCACTCTGAAAAAACACCTCCTCTTGGCAAAAAAAAGTAAAGGCGCAATTGTTTTTTTTTATTGAGTGCAAATTAAAGCAAAAAAAATATTTTTTTAGAAAAAAATTTAAAACAAAGAAAAGAAAAACGAAATTTTTTTAAGAAAAATCAAATTACACAAGCCAAAAACCAACAAATCGACTATCAACTTTTCTTTTTGTAGAACCCCCGTTTTATAAACACACACACATTTAAAATGGCAGATGCAGGAAGCGATAATCCAATCTACGGACCCTTCTTCGGTGTTATGGGAGCCGCCTCAGCTATCATCTTCAGTGGTGAGTAATCAAAAAAAAAAACTTTTTTAACATAAATAAATTATTTTTACATTATAACTACAAAATTTAGTTAAGTGAAATTTTTACAAAAAAAAAAATGGTAGGAGTAAGAAAATTTTTTATATATATTAGGGAAAAATCGAATATTTTGTTAGATACAGCCACTAAAAGTAAAAGATTTGCTATAAGAATAATAAAAGAGAGAGAGAGAGCGTAAAAAAGTAGAAGAGAAAGTAAAAAAAGAACAATACACAATTATTTTTAAAAAATTCTTTAACTAAAAACCACAATATTAGCAGAATGTTAAAAATATTACAATATTTCTAAGTTTTTAAAAAAAGAAACTTAGAAAACATTAAAAATTAGAATAGCAGTCGATTTTTTACTAAAGTTTTTATAATTTTTATACTCCTTTTTAATGTAAAACAGAAAGAGAGAGAGAAAATATTTAATTTGTAGGTTAAGTCAACCTTCAATTATTATTTATAACAGTTGTTGTTGTTGTTATTATTGCCTTTCTACTACTATTTTTTTTTTTTTTTGACAAGTCACAAGACTAAGCTTAATTTCAACGAGTTGCCATACATTGGTTTAAGTTAGCTGTTAACAATATAATTTACGCAAAAAATGAAGTTAAAGTAGTGCTTTTTTTCGCCTATTATCAGCTGAATACAAAAAATGCATGTGAGTTTAAGAAATCATCATTAATCACATGTCTCTAGTACTTGGGGCCCTTATCACATGCTTTCTTAACTTAAAAAAACTATATGATTTGATAAGATTATAATTACTTTTTCTAAGATAACAAAAATGTTTAAAAACAATCTTTTTTAAAGTCATATGAGTAAAAGTAAATTAAACAAAATGAAATTTTTTAAATAATTTAATCATAAATTATTTTTTTTTTTTAATTTATTGTTAATTTTTGAAATCTTTAAAATTTTTCCTTTAAATTCTTTTTTTAAATCATAACAAATTATTAAAATTTGCTTAAAACTTTAAAAAAATTATCAAAATTTATAACAATTATTAACATTTATTTTGTTATTTTAAACAAAATCTTAATTTGTTCCTTTATTAGAAACATTTTACAAAATTTGTTTAATTTATAACAAAATAAAGTGATTTCTTTACTAAATTCTTTTCAAAAAAGTTTTTAAAATAAATCCTCTTAACATTTTTTTCATTATTTAATAACAAATTTAAAAAAAAATCTTTTAATACCGTAAAGAAACATGTAATTTATTTCTAAAAATTTAAAATTTTTAGCAATACTTGTTTATTTTTGTAATTTGAAATAGTTTCATTAATTTTTTTTTTAAATTTTACTTAATTTCATTAAAAACTTGAAAATTTTAATAAATTTATTTAAAAATTTCGATTTCTTAATCATATTTTATTAAAAATGTTGAACTAAGTTCATTTTATAATGCAAATTGTTTACAAATGTTAACTTTTTATATAAAAACAGTTTTTTTTTGCATTATTTCTTAAAAATATATAATTTTTTTTCATATTTCAAGTTTTCTTTGATAATTTTAATGATTTTATTTATTTTTTGCGTATAAATGTTAGACAATTAAATTGAAAACTTTTAAAAACTGTTCTATCTATAATAAAATGCTTCAATTTTGTAAATAAATTTCATTATAAAATGAAGATTTTAGTTAATTTCCTCTAGCAAATTTGTTACAAATGTTTTTTTTTTTTTTTTTCATTATTTTTTATAATTTTTAACGTTTTGTTTTACTGTAACTGCTGTTATCATATTTTTTTTTTTTGCTGCTCAAGTATGAGTATAAAAAAAGTACCACATACAATATTGAGTCATGCTTTATTAAACTTTTTGTCATTCAATATTTTCTCTGCAATGCAATTCTTTTGCTTTGTTTTAAAAGGGGCGTTATAGGTTTATTTCTTTAAATTTATTTTTATTCAAAATAATTTTTCTAAAAAATAAACTCTCGATTTTCTTAAATTTTAACTATTTTTAATAATTTTATAATTTTTTGTATTTTTGGCTAAACTGCGCAAACTCTAATTTTATCTTCTTTCCTCGTGTTTTTAATGTTCTTTTTCTGTTCAAGCATAAATATGTCTTCTTGTTCAAGCTTAAATGTGTGTTATAGTATATTCCTTATAAGGACAAATATATGTTATATATATAGTTATAGGTACTTTACTATTAAATGAAAATGAAAAAAGGTCAATCGTTTGAAAAAATAACCAAACAATAGCATCTTTGAAAATGTTCATACTTAAGCGTAAATATGTTAATGCAGAAAAATTTTTGAGATTTTATAAAATTTATGAAAATTTAATAGATTTTTTTTTTTAATTTTTAATATTTTAGTTAAAAATT